TTTTATTGATGGGTATAAGGATCTAAAATCCAATACCGTTGCGCAATCTGGAGTGTCTATCTTCTTAAGTTCTTTTAAAAGCTCCATAGGACTTTCTATCTTGAACTGGTAATCAGAAAAGTTAATACATAACAGGCTATCTGCGCACTTGAAAGATTACCAGTTCAAGATAGAAAGTCCTATGGAGCTTTTAAAAGAACTTAAGAAGATAGACACTCCAGATTGCGCAACGGTATTGGATTTTAGATCCTTATACCCATCAATAAAAATTCAACCTTGTTTTTGTGCGCTCAGGGACTTCCTCCTCTCTAACATAGAGGACACCACATTGCACCACGATATACTCAAGTTAGTGCATCTGGCTTGTTACAATTCCGTATTCCAATTCAAGAACACCATATACGAGCAAGGAAGAGGAGTACCAATGGGAAGTCCACTATCTGGAGATTTATGCGAAATGGTAATCAGGATATTAGAAAGCAAAGTCCTTCCCTCTTTTCTCCCAAGTATTAGCATGTACAGAAGATATATCGACGATATAATTATCCTTTGGAAAGCTGAGCCAGATATAGATCATTTTATGAAATCTATGAACAACAACCCATATGGCCTCGTAGTGGAACTGGAACAACATAGTAAGGATAAAGTACACTTCTTGGATATAGTTATAGATATGAAAGAAAGGGCGGTACAAACTTATGTATACAGAAAACCTACAGCGATATCAACGTATATACCTTATGAATCTTGTGACCCATTTTCTTATAAGATAGCTGCGTTTAGAGCATTAGTAGAAAGAGCATATACGCATTCTTCCACCTCCCAAGCCCTCCAACGAGAATTAAATTACATTAGGAAGATCGCTAAAGAGCATGGTTACAGCAATATTATAAAAGGATTATGTAAGCAGCACTGGTGTTTGCAGAATCGTGTAGAAGAAAAGGTAGAGGTACTAAATGATGGAAATGAGGATAGCGTAGAGAGGGTACCAATAACGTATAACCTGCATCTAAAGGCAATGTACGAAAAAATTGCAAAAATAAAAGGAATTAAGATTGCATACAAAAGAAACCCAACCATTTACAGTTTATTAAGGAATGGGAAAGACAATTCGGACCCAAATAGGCTTCCAGGGATATACAGTATTCCATTAAAAGATAACAGATGGGATAGGCCTTTAGTGTATATCGGATCCACCAAGCGTTCATTGTCTACAAGATTAAAAGAGCATAAATCAGACATAGAACATAATAAATGTACGACGGCCCTATCTACGTATGCGACGAACACCTTTCTTCGATGAAGCGCATGTTATTCGCACCACCCAACACCCAGAACAACTAAGAACTTTGGAGGCAGTGGAAATATTTAAAGCCGATCGCAAATCCACATGCATTAATTTCAAAGAAATAAATCTCTCGGCAGCATGGCAATTTTTAATTGACGATAAATCATAATATATTTTATAAGATAAATTTTATGAGGTATTGCACACAATGAATCCCCATTGGTAAAAATTATATTTGAAATAACACGTAGATTCCTTCCATTTTTGAAATTTTTTCGAAAAATGGCACGTTCCATATTTTTCAAAAACATTCGAATTAAAGAATCCGGTTATAACGAAAGCTAAAATAAAGTAAGCCTGAAGAAGATCCCAGGAGAGGAATCGAAAACGTTTGCCGATTTTAAAGAATTTTTGCACTGGTTGCTGGTTAATTGTAGATAGTTGGAGTATATACAACCCGGTGTGGTGAGAAAGCACATTAATTATGTGATTATAAATAATATATCGGTTTATATATTTATATATAAATATATTATTTTTAAAGATTGGTTTATATATAAATATATATAAACCAATCTTTAAAAATTATATATAAATATATAAACCAATCTTTAAAAATTATATATAAATATATAAACCAATCTTTAAAAATTTGACATGGTTTAAAACCAGAGATTGAGATGAACAAAATGATTTATAAATCACTCATTTGTTGCAAAGTTCTGAAGAAATTGTTGAACAAACATAGAGCCTATTTACAAGCTTGCACTAACAGGATTTTTTTTGTCTTGCTGTCAAGACCACAAAAACCTCAGTTAGTGACAACTTCTTTTACCTCTCATCCACTCCAAATCCACCCAAAATGCTTTCAGTTTGGGAAAAAGGTGAAAGTCATTGAGGGCCAAGTACAGTCAGGACTGTATGGTGGATGGTCAAAACCATTCCAGCCAAATTTCTGAAGCACAGTTTGAGTTTCTGCAGTAGTGTGTGGTTGGTGTTATTTTCCTTGATTAAACATTAAACAGCATTTTCTCAGACTTGCTTCATTCATAATGTGATCATCATACACTTCTGTGATTTGTTTATGAATTTCAATAGGATGAACTTTCTTTACATGTAGAAAATGAATAACACTTCGCACTTGGCAGGATTTTTGATTTTTGTACACATTTTAACTTGACAAAACAATAACAATAAGCCTGCCATTATCAAAACTACAGATGCTAAGCTAACACATCAGAGAACAAATTGACCTTGAATCAATGATGATAATTTACCTGCGCAGAGTGATATGTGCAAACATTCTTTATTTTCTGAATGCCCCTAATAGTTTTTAATATTCTTCCAGTCTCATTTATGTAACGATATTCTGGTTGACAAGTACAAGTGAAAATATAAACTAATACTCTCTCAAAAACCTTTTAATGCAGTATATAAAACTTTATTCTTATGTTTTTGATCGTTTTTAACAATCTTCTTTGGAAAAACATTCTAATAAGAACAAATGCCTAACCATTTGTTAGAATGTTTTTTAAAAGTTCAAATTAATTACGTAATTTATTTAGTAATTAGCCTTAAAACTAGCCCGATGGATTTACGGCATATGTTTGGTGATTAGTTTAAATGCCAATTATTAGTGCTATGCAGCAAAGCATTCCATGCTCCTGTAATTATGTTATATATGTTACCGTTAAAGCTCGAAAGCCATTAATGTGTACATTACCTAGCTAATCTCCAGATTAACTAGGGTGATCCGTTGAAGTTGCAAAAATTGTTCCATTTCTCAAACTACCTTGATAATGTGCAGAGTATCTAGGTAATCCGCACATTACTTACTAGGCACTCGGTAAAGTGAAAATAAGATCTTTTCTGGAACACAATTGCTATGTAATTCAAAGTGTCACCAATCTTTAGATTGCACTAATAAGTAAGCACAATTTTATTATATGTTTTGAAAATTCATTTTTTTAATTGTAATGCTATTTTAAACCATTTGAATTTTTGTATTACAGGTTTTTAATTAATTAATTGATTGATTGATTCTATCAACTAATTTGTTGATTGTTTGATTGTATTAACTTGATTCTTTAGATATCGAAAATTAAATAAAGAACATTATGTTAATTTAAGTGTACAGAAACGTTGCGGTTGTTCCAGCAAAGATCTTATTTTCACTTTACCGAGTGCCTAGTAAGTAATGTGCAGATTACCTATAGATCTATAGATACTCTGCACATTATCTAGGTCAGTGGTTCCCAACCTTTTTTCATTAGTGTACCCCGTGACATGCCATATCTCTAGATTGTACCCCGTGACATGTCATATCTTTAGATTGTACCCCTCATTTAAGAAATTTAGTGAGTAACCGTATTGTTAAATTTACATATTGTAACTTTAAATTAAAGAAAAAAAAACCTAAAAGAAAAAATGTATAATAAAGTTGTGATTGTTGCAAGGAACATTTTTTATCTAATAATTTTTTAATACTATTAGTTTGTGATACATAATATATTATTTTTTCTGCCATAATAACTAACTTTTTTCTGTACCCCTAAACAACCTATCGCGTACCCCTAGGGGTACGCGTACCACAGGTTGGGAATCGCTGATCTAGGTAATTTGAGAAATGGAACAGTTTTCACAACTTCAAGGATCACTCTAGTTAATATGGAGATTAGCTAGGTAATGTACACATTAATGGCTTTTGAGCTTTAGCGGTAACATATATACTGCATTAAAAGGTTTTTGAGTGAGTATTTTTAAAAGTGCAGTTTAGAAAGGAGTAAATATTAATATAAACTAAGTTATTATTTAACATTATATCAGTTTTCCTTTAAATTGATTCTTTAGTTTTTAAAAAATTATTAATAATAATAATAATAATTTTTTAAAAATCATCCTAGCCAGTGGCAGATTTAGCACTTGAAAGTCCCCAGGCACAATTCAGTTTTGAGGCTTCCCTCCAAATATTTTCACTACCCCTACACCCTACAGTGTGCATTCTATGTGCATGTTTTTTTTACTCTGCTAAATTATTAATTATTTCTATTATGAAAAAAATAATAATTAAATAAAATAATTTTTTTTTATTTTATTTTGAGAGCTGAATTTTGAGGCCCCCTTGATTTATGAGGCCCAGGCATGCACCTATGCAGATATCTGCCACTGGTCCTGGCCTGCAAATTGAACAATAAAATATTATTGTTTAGTGTGGAGGCTAGGACAATATTGTATGATTTCAATGCTTTTTGTATTTTCTCAAAAGTGATAGATATGTAATCTACTTTTTTACGGATTTTTTTTTTTGTAAATTTTCTAGGGATGTCTTTTATAAATTAATTGTGTTTAGGGTATTGTTTGTTTAGTAGTGTGATTATTAAGCCAATTATCAATAATTCTGTTAGAATAGACATTTCATTGAAAGATACAATACATATGTTCTATTCTATTTCTATGTTTTGGTCCATTATATTATATGTATGTAATTTAAATTTATTTATATACATAATAAATCTGCACTTTTTTATATACATAGGAACACTTGAGTAAAAATTGATGACTTTTTCAATGTCACAGAATTTTAGGTATTTTTTGAAAGTTATCAAATTACTGTATTAAATCCTGTTGACTGATGTCTAAAAGTTCAACATAACGTTATTCTCTTTTTCAATATCAAAGCATATATTATTTTGGATATTATTGGCATAGTCAAGTAGTCAAGTATTATTTGAGGATCTGTCAAGGTTTTTATTGTAACAAACCAGTCGTCAACATAATGAATAGCCTGAAATGCATTTCCTTTTCATATAATAAAGTCTACACAACCAATCAATACTGCTCTTCTATGATAAGTTCTCCATAGCAATTATGTGCTTACTTCCAAAGATCTGAATAGAGAGAACAAAACGTATTGCAATTAAGAGCAATATGAATTATTTATGCTACTGGATAATTTTTAGAGAGGCTACACCTTTGTGAGATCTGGAATTTTTGTGACGAAATTTCCGCTCTTTTATTAACAAAAATGTTAATTAGTTAAGAAAAAACAATTTTTAGCCGGGATTGTGTAAACTTTCCGATCCATTGTTCATTGCAGAACTTGCATCTCATCTTGCAAGAAGGTTTACAGTTAGCATCTAAATGTTGTCATTTGTTGTAGATCCCAGGAACACCTATAACCTTTAACTCATGAACATCCGATCACGTGGTGGAAATTCTCCACAAAAACCTATAAAAGACCGTTCTTACCCCCTCTCGGGGGGAGTCTACGAACGAACGCAGGACTAATGACATCGCGCCGATCTTCCGAACCCACTGAATTCCGATCTCCGATGAACCTCGAATTAAATCGTTGCAAAAGTCGCGATTATACGTAATTTGTGCCGTAACTGGATTATAACTACCTATTCCCTTGGATCGATATTTAAAGGCATCCACATTCCAAATCATCAAGGGAACAGCTATACAGAGGTATGAAAGCACTGTGAAACTCTCTCTGGGTCGGTATAGAAACTTTGTGTTTCTAGGTCGGTAGAAACGAGCTTTGTGTAGTCTTTTGTCATTTTGCTTATTTTTAATAAATTGTTGATATATATTGTTAAAAATATGGTAGACTCCTTTACTCGATCACGTCCTTCACCTTATCGTCGACCCCAAATTCTCTCCATCCACTCGCCTGACATTTGAGAGTCAATTAGACGTCCTGACAAGTGAACGGGAGCCTTACGCCTCTGTATTCACACCTTATTTCTAAATGATTATTTTAAACTGAAAAACATAATACTTAGAAAAACTTTAAATTTTATGCTACTGTAATTTCATGTGAATAACCTGTTTCTAAAGGAAATTTGAAAGAGATGAGTGTTATGGAATGGGATAGGCTAAATGCAACATATCTCTGTATCTTTTTATAATATCTTGTACTGTTGAGCTCCTTTTTCTTACAATATTACTAATATCACTAACTGATAGACCCAACTTCCAGTGGTCTGTTACTGATTTTCTGATATCTAATG